AGCAGATTAGCTCCACGATGGAGGGAATAAAATCCTGGGATTATCACCCAGCTGCCACGGTTGGTGAGCAAGGCAGCACAGATCATCACTTTCTCTGTTTCTGCTTCCTTCCAGTCCTTCCCAGTCATGCAGACCCCCCTCTCTGGGCGCCAGGCCTCCACTCCAGGAACAGGTACGCCCCCCCATCCCCCCCTCTGACTGGCCTCATCCCTGCAGCTTACAGCCTCCTGTCTCCTGCCTGCAGGCCTGCAGCAGAGCTGCCTCTCTCCGGCTCAGGTGGATCCGTTCTACAGTCAGGGGGAGTCTCTGTCCTCTGAAGACCAGCTGGACCAGACCTGGGTCACCGTCTTTGGGTACTCAGGCCTCCTGACTCCTCCCAGTTCACCTGGAAGCAGCCGTGTTTCCTGCAACACCTCATTCCAGCTTTTAGTGACTTTAAGACGAGAGAATCCCACATGTTTGCATCTGTTAACCAGGCGGAGCAAAGCTGAACCTGCTGAACCCACGATATAACAATGTTAACATTTTATAATGTTCTTATAGACCAAAACGTTAATACTAACCATCAATGTTAGTATTAACATTGATGGTTAGTAGTGCCTTGAGATGACATGTGTTGTGAATTTGGCGCTATATAAATAAACTGAATTGAATTGAATTGAATTGAATTAATATCAAGGGTTATACATCTAATCATCAACCCTCTGCCATTCAGGAGGAAACTGGAGATTCAGGGGGGGGGGGTTCATTTAGTGAGGATCCGTCTGTTTCCAGAGGCGTCCAATCAGACGACAGCATTGTTTATTCTGTTTCCTGGATTGGTTGATGAGTGAAAATCAATATGGCGTCATCAGCACTGCGACAGCAGGCGTTTAGGTCATGGTTGGCTGCAGCAAACAGGAAGTGGATCAGTGATGGAGGCGGGTTTTAATCAGCGTTTCAGTCAGGTTAGCCTTAGCTTGATCAGTTAGCTAGCGTTAGCCATTAGCATCAGAGGAAACAGCTGATCATGGGAGGAAAATAAACCTGTTTATTCAGGACGTGAATCCTTCAGTGAGTTTCCATCAAACTCTACTTCTGTAAAACGTCTGGTGATGTCATCATGACATCATCTGGTTGCTGCGTGTCTCTGGCTGCTATGGTCACTATGGTCACTCTGTCCATTTCTAACCGCCCTGAGCGAGGCTCTGATGCGTTTCCTGTTTCAGGTTCCCTCCAGCCTCGGCTTCCTACATCCTGCTGCAGTTCGCTCAGTATGGAAACATCCTGAAACACACGGTGAGGCTCCGCCCCCCTGCTGCTCGCCACTTTTAGCCTAGCTGCTTCTCACTGCTCCTCTGTCTGCAGATGGCGTCTCCTGGTAACTGGATGCACCTGCAGTACCAGTCCAGGCTGCAGGCCAGGAAGGCGCTGTCTAAAGACGGGAAGGTGTTTGGAGACGCCATCATGGTGGGAGTCAAGCCCTGCATAGAGAAGGTGGGTGATGCTGTGGGCCTTTTCTTTGAATGTGAGCTGAGCTGGGCAGCAGCAGCATCATGGCGCCTCCTTCTTCCTCCCAGAGCGTGATGGGGAGCAGCGAGGCCGCCTCCCCCCCTCTCTCCTTCTCCTCCTCTGCCCTCCCCTCCACCCCTCGCTCTGCCATCCGGCCGCTTAGCGCCTCCTACAGGAGCTCCGGCAGCGACTACCAGGTAAGCGCAGCCCAGGTGACCCTAAGCCGTTCAGGTGGAGCAGCTGTGAACGCGTTTCCTCCTCCCTCAGGTGGTGGCGGACAGACAGACGCCCAGGAAAGACGACAGCCTGGTTTCCAAAGCCATGGAGTACGTCTTTGGCTGGTGACCAGAGGACGGCCTGATGGGGGGGGGGGCTTTTATTTCTTTTTTAATGTCTTTGTCTCAATAAATTTAGTCTTTTAAAATGATCCAGAAAGTCTCCCTGTTGGTTCACTGTTTATTGACGAGTTAAATTCCCTGCAGCTCATTAGACTGAGGAGCCGCCATCTTACCGCCGACCATGTGACCCGACGGCTGACGATGAGCTGAGCCAATCATTAAGGTTAAACTATAAAATAAGGACAGCTTCTAGTTTCTGCGGCTCATTCTTTCCTCTCTACTGTTTTCAGAACAAAGCAGTTAAATGATGTTTAAATTAGTGATAAAGCTGAACGATAGAAGCTTCTGATATCACAACAAATAAAGGTTCAAGAAACAGATTTTAACAATAATTGGAGATATTTTTCTAATAAAGTAACCGAGTGATTAGTTAACGCTAAAGTTTAATTAATTAAACTGTCCAGCAACAGTAATAATTCCTTTAAGTTTAAATTGAACTTTTTATAGTAAAGATAAATTATGTTTGTTCAGCAAAATAACTTTTATTAAATTAAGCTGATATTGATGAAATGATGTTTATGCTTCAAACAAAATTACTGAGAAATTAATTCATCCAAAAGCTGATCTGGAACAAAAATATCTACATTTATTTAACAAACTTAACTGCTAATAATTATACAGCGTTAAATGACTGAATTGGAAAGAAAATAATTTATATAAATGACAGGATTTCATTCCTACAGTGAGCTGAATGGAGGCGACAGATGAAGGAGGCTGCTCTGCAACCAGAGGGTTGTCGGTTCAATCCCCGGCTTTCATTTCCATTGTGTCCTTGGGCAAGACACTTCACCTGCATGGCCTCCTGATGGTGGCGCCGGCGTGCAGCCGCCCCAGGCCAGCGGTGGCTGCAGGGCAGTGAATGTAACCAGCTTTGGTCGGATCTCCCGCCATGAACTAATGGTCATGTGACCACAGGCCGCCATTAGAGGTTAGAATAATTATTATTATTAGAAATTAATCCAGAGCTCTGAGATTTCCTGAGACTAAATGAGCAGAAAATGCAGTAATTTTCCCTTAAAGAAAACAAACTGATAAAGATCCACATAGATTCAGTTTTTTCTCCTCTTGACGGTCCTTAATATATAATTTAAACAGAACAAACATCTATAAAAACCAAACCAGCATTCAGAACCGAGCTTTGCACTAAATGATAAACAACATCAATAAAGACATTAATCACTTAAAGGGATCCATGCATGTATTAAAAATATCAGGCTAGTTTGGAATTATGAAAAATTAAATGGTTTGTGTCAAAATGTTGATCTAAAGTTCTTTAAGCTACATGAACGTATTTTATCTCCTATTGTTTGTGAAAGGCTAAGATAACATCTGATCTGTCCTTCCCCCAGCTCCTTTAATTCAGACTGTTGGTAACTTTGACTCCACAGGAGCTCATGACGGGTCGACCCGTTCCTGGACCACAGAACGGACCTGACCTCTGACCTCTGACCAGACTGGGACTGACAGGTGACACATTAAAATGACCTACAGGACCTTTTTTCCCTTAGAGACGGCTTTACAGAGGGACCAAGGTGCCTGGAGACCCTGATGGAGGACCATCTCAGCCATCCTTCAGCAGGAGGAGGCGTAGCTCAGTCGTCAACAGATCTGAGCTCATCGGGAGGGAAACAGGAAGAGCTTCAACAATCAGAATAAAGGGGCAGAATAATCCCCTCTGATTGGTTAATTAACACATCAGTAGTCCACCTGATGTGGACCAGCTACTCTGCAGACAAAATGTCGCCTCTATAAGGGACCAACATCAACAGAAAGATGAAGACACCCACCTGAAGATGTCTGACATCAGCGTTGGCTTTTTGATTCTATAATTATACATCATGAATGAGAAGATAATCCCATGATAAATAGTTTGGCATCCATTTCCTTTGGATTTCTCCTGAATCTGTTTATTGATTATCTTCTATAATCTCATATAATGATGGCTTTTTTCCTTGACATTTAAACCATTCATTTTTCCTTTTTTTATCATTTACATGAAGGATAATATATTTTTATAATCAAAACGATTCTATTTCTATCTATTTCCTGTAGAATCCCTTCAGAATATTTTCTTTAATCTCTAAAAGTTTTAAATCACAGCTGCAAGGCTACAGGATGTATTGATTTTATTTATCCTGTTTGGGATTAATAATCGTTTCTCAGGGTTTATTTATAAAAAAAATTTATTTTCCTCAACTTTTTGTAATTGTTTTAATAACTGTATTTGTAGACCTTCACAGGCTTCCTGCAAGAGTTAGTGAGGGGAACTTTAATCAGAGCAAAGCAGAACATCCAGCTTTATGTCAGGAACTGTTTTCTCAGCTTTGCAAAGATAAATGAAATAAAGATGGAATAAAATGGCTGAATTACATCCATCACCTTTGTTAAATGTTGTCAAATACTTTTTTTCCTAAGAGAGTATTTCATTTATGTGTTTATTTAAGTGTTGATGTTGAAAATCTTTAGCAGATGTTTGATTTAACGGTTCAGTTTTCTGCTTTTTTCCTTGTGGAAGAAACTAACATAAAACACTGGATGTTGTTTATCCATTTATTGATTTATATGGAAATACTGAGACTTAAAACTGTGATTTCTGTGATGCCATTAATAAAACTGAGCAACTATTTTTTTAATTATTTTTATTGCATTTATGTAGAGGCTTTGAGGGCTGCTGTCAGTTGTTCCCTAAAGTTCATCATGTTTGCTGTCAGACATATTTGCTCTCATCCAGGACAATCACTCTCCAATATTATCATCATTTTCAACCAAAAAGTTTCCAGCATTTCATGTTGACTTCCTGTTAGATCTATGAACTCTTTATAGAATCCATCAAAAAATGGCCTCAAACTTTGCTTGTTTACCGAAGAATATGATTTAAAGCTAAACTATTGGTTTTAATTTTTATATTTTCCTTAGTTTCAGTTTCATATTTTTCTGCCATCATCCGTTTCGCAGTAGATAAACCTGTTTTATGTCTTTGCGTTGATGCTACTTTCATAATTAAAGAGAAAAGCCATTTTCTCCTGAGAGCATGCGGAAACATCGCGATATTTGGTCAGCAGCCCGCAGGCCCGAGGTTACAGAGGTGACATCTCGCGGTACCTGAGCTGCCAGAGTCTCATTCCGCCGCTGTCCAGTTTACCGGAGGAGGTTCAGTCCAGCAGCTCCGCTTTACTTTCATTCGGAATTAGAATTTAGATTTCTTTTCATAAAGTATTTTTATTTAACTAAATAAAACGAACGCGCTGCCTTCTTTAACGCTCAACTATCATATTTTTTCCAGAAAAGAAGGAGCCATTTTTTTTTTTTTTTTTTTTTGCCGTCTCAGATCATCCGGTTGTGCTAACAAAGAAGCTAGTTTCTCTTCAGCGATAATCCCCAAAATTGTCTTTAGTTATGAGTCATGTGGTCGTTGATGCTCCGCACGGTCTGGATCAGCAGGTAAGAAAAATAAAACTTTATCCACTCAAAGGTTAGGATGTTTAAACACGTTAGTGTTTCTGGGGAGAAAGGGGGCTAGCTCAGCTAGGCTAGCAGTGGCTAGGCTAAGCTAGCTATGGCTAAGCTAACAGTGGCTAGGCTAAGCTGTTGCTGCTAAAATGGAGGCTGAAGTCGCAGCAGAGAGGATCATGATGGCGGAACATGTTGTTCCGGTGGGCCGCTTTCTGCTCTCCGACCGAGTTTTAAACTTTAAAATGATCAGAAACGATCATTTTCTGATGAATCTTTATTCCGAGCGGCCATTACTGAGAGGAATGACCGGTGGAGCAGCAGCATTAGCTGGCAGGCAGCCGGCCGGCTAATGAGGCCTGAATGAGCCTGAAACGTGGCGCAGGAGGAAATGTTGGCATCGGGGTTTGGGGCCCATGGACCCCCTGGGGCCCCTCGGTAATCCGATTCCTCAGTAATCTGATTACATTTCTCTGTATTTTCGGATGGAATTACTCCAGTTAAACAGTTTTTCCTCCGATTATTTAACTGTAAATGTGACTCATTCCTTTGACCTAGTTTCTGTCTATGAGTCAGTTTTTTTCCATCCAGTTCATTTCTCAGCAGTAATGATTTCCAGATGTTTTGCTGCTCCTGATCAGCCCCTCATTTACCCCCCCACCCCCCCATCCAGTCTGACTGCTTCTGATCTGATGACGCCATTGTTGGTTAAATGTGATTTTGACCCAATGAAGGCAGCAGTCAGTTTTTATTCTGGGTCAATATTTACCTCCATCCTCAGCTCAGCTCATTACTGCAGGTTTTTAACAAAGAAAATTTCCATTTATTTTATATTTATTAGGCCTGAAACTATTATTTAGCAAATTGATCCGTCTATTGATTATTTATTAGATAAATTGATTAATAATCCAACGGCCAGAGGTTGCTTAATTACTAAATTAGGAGCTCTGGATTATAGAGCAGATTAACAAACAGAAAACGGTTTTTATCTTGAATGTAAAATCTTTGGACTCTTTCAGCTAAAGGCCTGTTTTACGGCCTCTATGCTCCAGTTATTAATTAATCGATGACTAAATGAGTTCAGTATTATATTAATAATCCATTAATTATGATAAATCCCAATATTTATATTAAGTAAAGTGAACATCAGTAATAAAATGCATCATAATCTATTAAATCAATAAACTTCATAAAAGCAGTGAAATTACTAAATTTTGGGAACTGAGGTGAAAATGTGATTTGTCTTTGTAAATAAATTCTTTTTTCTTTTGCAGCTCGCTGTGCTAGACTTGAACGCTGACGGTCAGGGCGGAGGAACTGGCAGTAAGTAAAGTCCCGTTGCTCTGAAATGAGACCCAAGCATCTGGGGGGGGGGGTTGGATCTGTTTCAATGATTCTGGGAACATAACTTTAAAACAGTTTTCATGTAGGTGGAACTGGTCTTCTGCTGCCGGTTGTTGCTAACCAGCGTTTGTTTCTTCCAGGGCGCTACATTCCACCTCACCTGAGGAACAAAGATGCAGGGAAAAACGGTGAGTTTTTAAAGAAATGGATCCTAAGCAGCCATCAGAGCGAGTTAAAATGTCCTGAGGACCAATCAGTGCACAGAATGAGCAGCCGTGATGAAGGTTTTCTGGGTGGTTGTTGGTGCGTCTAAAGTAGTTCAGGTGGAATGATGTCTGCTCCAGCCTTTAATGTCCCCCAGACTGCAGCAGCAGGGAGGATGGGGGCTTCAGCTCAGCTCCAGGCTGTGTGAAGCACAGGAGCGCTAGCAGTTAGCAGCTCTGATAAAGGCTGAATCATTGATGATGATGATGATGATGGTGCCGTGTCGCTGCACTCTTGACCTTCTCACTGTTTTCTTATTCCACAGCAGGAAATTGTTATCCCGCTGCTAAACAGTGCGGTTATTCAGTGGCGCCTCTAAATTTCTGTAAGTTCCTTCTGTCAGCGAGTTGCATTTCTAGATGCATGAAATAACAGTTTCACACATCAGCAAAGTCTGTAAAGGGAGGAGCTAGAAGACAGACTCTGGTCTCTGGTTAATCGCTGCGCTTCTCTTTGCTGAATGCTTGCAGCCCCACCTAAGCCCCTCCCCCTTCATGTCATGGTGGGAAACGTAGCTTTGTTTTGTTTTTTTTCTCCTACGCTGTTGATGCCTGCGATGTTCTCCAAGATGGCCCCAAGCTGCAGCAGCGGTGGCAGGCTGATGGTCAGCAGGCTCAGGGTGGCAGCTGTCCGTCAGGATGGGAGGACGTTACCGCCGGTAACTATTGCGCTGAGTGGAACCGCTGCATGGTCCGCCTCTCCGTCCTAAGGCCCCTCCCTACCTCTGCTCAGGTTACCCCCCTATGGCCTCCCAGGAGCTGGCCTTCTACCACGCCTACAGCGGCGGCTGGCGGAGCAGAAGCGGTATACTCTGACCTTCACCTGCATGTCAGCGTGTAGAGCTGCCCTCGGGGGGGTGTGGCCTAAAGGGGTCACAGCTTGGAGAGGAGCCTGATTCCCTGCATCATGTGGGCGGCTGGCGGCGGCAATGCTGCAAGTCTGGATCCTTTAGAAGGGTCTCTGGACGAGGCGCCTCGATAAATATATATCGGCTCTATGGAAACGGTCTGCTGGACATGGAGTATAGATCTATAGATCTGCAGCTGATTGGTTTCTGCTCACATCATCCATCATGGCTGCAGCTGCTGCCCACCATGCAGGAACCGGCCTCTGTCCTGCAGTCTAACTCGCCGTTAACATGGAGTCCATTGGCTGTGTGAGCTAAAGGCTTGGTGTGTGCTTACTAATGGCGTCTAAAGCCCGCCGTACACTGCGACTAAAAACCACGTCAGACTCGGCTCCGCAGTGAGGTGGCGCTGCTCTGACTCATCTGTCCTGAAGCCAAACGATTAGAAGACATAAAGCTCACTATAGTGACCCGCGCTGCCGCCGCCATTTGAGCTATTTTCTGCTGAGGGTCCTTGAAAGAAAAGGAGACGGCGTATTCGCTCGTAACCTCCTGTACACTATGCGACTTTCAGGCTGAAAGTCGGGCCGATAGAAAAATACTCGCACGGCTGGAAAATGGCGCAGTGTACGCCGGCCTTAAGATGGAGGGTTCTGATTGGCTGTTGATCTACAAGCGTTTCTCCAAAGATCCTCGGTTGTTTGGTTGATGTTTGGGCCGAGTGGCGCAGACGGCCAAACCAGTCAACCTGAGCGTGCTAACGGCGTGCTAACAGCGTGCTAACGGCGGTGGCCTGGTTCTGATTGGTCCAGCAGCTCACGCCTGTTTCTAACCTCCTCTCTTCTCTTTGTTCACATAAAGACTCGCCTGGATGGGACGGAGGACGCACCAACGGATTCGTGAATGGTTTCCATGACAACCGTGCTAATGGGGGGTTTGGAGGCCGCGGACCCCCTCGCAACGACAGAGGTGGGCGTGGCGCCTACCGTGGTAACAGGGGTGGAGGCTCCTTTAATCAGCCAATGCAAAGTTCAGGTGTGGATTTGCTGTTCTTTTACCCCCCCACCCCCACACAGAGACTGCCCCCCCCTTACACACACACACACACACAGTCAGGCTGCACCCCCCCACACACACAGACTGCCCTTGTTTGTGTTGCTAACCGTGTCTGTAGTCATGATGATGAATTCAGATTAACAGCAGTTTGCTTTAAGGGAATCTGGCGTCTCCAGTGTTGGTAAGCAGCAGACGCCTCGTGGCGTCTGACAGCTGATTGGCCAGCACCGGCTCAGGGTCCATCAATGACGCCGTTTCATTCATACAGGCTTTGGAGGCTACGAGAACAAGGAGGGGGGCTGGGGGGGGGCTCCCAGAGACGCTGCCTACAACAGCTTCGGAGGACGCAACGATCGCTCCAAGTCTAACTTCTACAGCGACCGCGGCGCCGGCTCCAGGGGGAGGTGGGTAACAGCCGTCAGTCCGCACCGCCCCCCTCCCCCCCAGTCTGATAAAAACCTCTGAATGTTCTACAGATACGAACGCGGTGGATTCGGTGGAGGAGGAAACAGCCGCTGGGTGGAGGACTCCAGAGAGGACGACTGGTCCAAGCCCACAGCGCCCAACGAGCGTCTGGAAAAGTAAGACCCATTTGCTCCTGGCGGACGCTCCGCGTCTGACCCACACTGACCCCGCCCCCAAATGACCCCCCCCCCCGCTAACGAACTGTTCTGTGCTTCCAGTGAGCTGTTCTCTGGAGGCAACACGGGGATAAACTTTGAGAAGTACGATGATATTCCTGTGGAGGCCACCGGGTCCAACTGCCCGCCGCACATCGAGAGCGTAGGTTTCCGCACGCGGCTGCTGTCGCCGTCTCCTCTGAGGCTTCGCTCTAACGCTGCCTGTTTTTCTGCAGTTCCATGATGTGGACATGGGGGAGATAATCATGGGGAACATCTCCCTGACCCGCTACACCAGGCCCACCCCGGTCCAGAAGTACGCCATTCCCATCATCAAGATCAAGAGAGACCTGATGGCGTGCGCCCAGACCGGTCAGTGTTTGTGGGCTGGATGGGATTCTGCTGCTGGTTCTGGTTCTAACAGCTTCTATCGGGTCCGTTTCAGGCTCCGGTAAAACAGCCGCCTTCCTGCTGCCGGTTCTGAGTCAGATCTACACCGAAGGTCCAGGAGACGCTCTGCAGGCGTCCAAGAGCAGCGGACAGGTAGAGGCCGAGCGCCGGAGGAGCTGCTCTGATGAGGCGTTCTGGTTCTAATGAATCCGTCTTTCCTCCCCAGGACAACGGACGGTACGGCCGCCGGAAGCAGTACCCCATCTCCCTGGTCCTGGCTCCAACCAGAGAGCTGGCCCTGCAGATCTACGACGAGGCCAGGAAGGTGAGTCGCCGTCCTCCATCATCTAAGCTCTCAGTCACGATGACATCATCACTAAACCTGTTCCTGCATGGCTGCAGTTTGCCTACCGCTCCCATGTGCGTCCCTGCGTGGTGTACGGCGGCGCCGACATCGGCCAGCAAATCCGGGAACTGGAGAGAGGCTGCCATCTGCTGGTGGCCACACCGGGACGTCTGGTGGACATGATGGAGAGGGGCAAGATCGGCCTGGACCACTGCAAGTCAGTATGGACTGGGCGGAGCTTAGGATCCAGGTTCTGATGGTGGCTAACGGGCTTTTTCTGCAGCTACCTGGTCCTGGACGAGGCCGACCGCATGCTGGACATGGGCTTCGAGCCGCAGATCAGACGCATCGTGGAGCAGGACACCATGCCGCCCAAGGGCATCCGCCAGACCATGATGTTCAGCGCCACCTTCCCCAAAGAAATCCAGGTGGGTCCGCCGGGCCGAGGCCCATGCCCCCCGTTTCCATGGGAACGGTTCTCATGGTTCCATCTCCCCGCAGATCTTAGCCCGGGACTTCCTGGAGGACTACATCTTCCTGGCTGTGGGGCGAGTGGGTTCCACCTCAGAGAACATCACGCAGAAGGTGGTCTGGGTGGAGGAGAACGACAAGAGGTCCTTCCTGCTGGACCTGCTCAACGCTACCGGTAAGGAGCTGCAGATCTGACCTTCTAGCTGCTCTGGATCTACGCGTGGCTCAGACAGCTTCCCACTGAGGATCATGGAAGCAACATTTCTTTAATTTTCAGCCAATCAAAGGTTCAGGTCGGATGGCGGAATCTTTCTGCTGCTTCTTTATCTGCGGCCGTTTTCTCTCCCCTCTGACGCCGCAGGCAAAGACTCGCTGACTCTGGTGTTTGTGGAGACCAAGAAAGGAGCCGACGCCCTGGAGGACTTCCTGTACCGGGAGGGCTACGCCTGCACCAGTATCCATGGAGACCGCTCCCAGCGGGACCGAGAAGAAGCTTTGCATCAGTTCCGCTCCGGACGCTGCCCCATCCTGGTGGCTACAGCGGTAAGCCCCCCCCCCCAGCCTGCGGAGCCGATCTGTGGTTTGGGTCGGCAGCAGACTGAGCGTCTTCCTCGCTGTTCCCTCCCTCCCTCCAGGTGGCGGCGCGAGGTCTGGACATCAGCAACGTGAAGCATGTGATCAACTTTGACCTGCCCAGCGACATCGAGGAGTACGTTCACCGTATCGGCCGTACGGGACGTGTGGGAAACCTTGGTGAGCTCTGGTTCTCTGCTGGGCGGGGGGGGGGTTAGCGTTTTAGGGGCGATGATGTCATGTCTGCTCTGCGTCCAGGTTTGGCCACGTCGTTCTTTAACGACAAAAACAGCAACATAACCAAAGACCTGCTGGACATCCTGGTGGAGGCCAAGCAAGAGGTTCCCTCCTGGCTGGAGAGCCTGGCCTATGAACATCAGCACAAGAGCTCCAGCCGCGGACGATCCAAGAGGTAATGGCCGCCGTGCCGCTGGTGACGCCATCGTTGTTGGTCTTCAGACGCCTGATCGGCTGACCTCTCTGTCTCTCAGGTTCTCCGGTGGTTTTGGAGCCAGAGATTACCGTCAGTCCTCCGGTGGTTCTGGAGGCTTCGCTGGAAACCGCTCAGGACGCAACACTGGGGGAAACCGCGGCTTTGGAGGTGAGCGGCTCGCCGCCGGTTCCGCCTTCTGATGCGTTAACCTCGTCTGACCTTTGAACCCTCCTCCTCAGGTGGCTTCGGTGGCAACTTCTACAGCGACGGCTACGGAGGAAACTACAACCCCTCTGGGAGCGTGGATTGGTGGGGGAACTAGACGCCATAGGAAGAGGTTGTCATGACAACCTGATGGAAACCACATGTTGACTTAAGCCAGACTATAACGACCCTCCCTGTGTAGCTTCACTGACAGTACATTAAACCCGGTCCTCGGCCGGCGCCGCAGACGGACACCTCCGCCTTTCAGCGTGTTTTTGTTCCTATGGGGGGGGCACCGCTGAGGATTGTGGGTATGTTGATGTACTGCGCCTTTTTGAATTTAAACAGGATTTCACCAGATGAACAAGGCAGCAAAGAATCTGAATTAGTTTAAATATTTAGTTTAAAAAGAAAAAAGCTTTGACTTAAACCTTGGCAAAGTCAAATTTCTACCATCATGTAGCCTTTTCTACCGTCAGACGGCTAACGGAGCCACCATTAGGCCCCTGTGGGGGGGCCCCTCTGGGAGGCCCCTGTTTTAATCCAAAGGGGGCGGAGTCCCGCTGGGTTTCTGCTCACGTTCCTGACGGGATCTTAATCCACATTAAGCTCAGTGCCAACGACGCTGAGGCTCAGACAGGAAACCGATGCTGGAGTCCGGGTTCCGATCGACTCGGCGGTGTTACGGCAGCTAGCGCGTTCGTTAGCCGCTGCTAGCTTCTCCAGGTGTTTCTGTTGCTTTTTACTGGAGGAGTTTCTGCTGCAGCCGGCTGCAAATTTAGAAAAACTGACTCTGGTTTCTTCTTGTTTCTCTACTGATGTGGAAACGCCTGCCGTTCAAAATGGCTGCACAAAGGACCACGGCATTGGGGGGGCGGTGAGGCCCCCGCGGTATTCTACGCTTGCAAGTGTTTTGTTTTTTGGTCAAGGAGAAAGGACGCGTGAACGGAGTCGCAGGCTTAACTTAATTACAAACATTTTCTCTTTTCAAGCTGCGTTGGAGGCTGGGTCCATCGCTGGGGGGGCCATATCGGAGCGGGTTCAATGAACCACCAGGAAAACGGGCGGGGGGAGAGCAGCACTCCAACCAGAAGGGTCAGAGCAGCGGGGTGGGCGGGGCCAGGTTTACAGGCGTTCTCTACGGATCATCAGGAAATCGTTTCCTCTCTGAGGAGCGGCTGTGACGTGCCTTCAAACCGTTTTTCTTTAGCGGCGGCCGCTGCTGGCGGTGCTACCAGGTGGGCGCGTAGCGGCGGACGCGGCTGGCGGTGCTACTGCGTGGGCGCGTAGCGGCGGACGCGGCTGGCGGTGCTACTGCGTGGGCGCGTAGCGGCGGACGTGGAGCCCATCAAGTTTTACTAAAGTTGTTTTATTGCACATCTAGAGTTTTATACGGATGTCTCTGATATGTCCTTAAGCTTCCAAAAGTGGGAGGAGTTAGAGGAAAGCGCAGCTTGTTTACAGGGGAAGGGAAGTCGTTCAAATCCAGGATTTATTTGGGACCAGGGGGTTAACAGTGGGGGGGGGTTTAGCCATTTGCACAGATTTCTAGATTCTACTTTTGCTGCTAGTTTTGTGTAATTTATTAAGCATTTTCGACAAATATTTATTTTTGTAAGCCTCAAAGTGATTCTTTGAAAGTTTCAGAAACTTGACCAAAAGACAGTAGATAAAAACACTGGCACTTGAATGTTGAATGTCGCCTGTATGCGTGAAGTTTCTATGTTTGGGGGTAGTGTGAGCTTTTTAAAGGACTCGCTGTCTAAAGTCCACAGCTGTTTCAGAGGCCTCCGCATGGCCGCCATCTATCGGACTTTACTGATTGGACGTCAAAATTCCACGTGGATCTGAGCAAACATGCCAAGGTTTGGAGTTAAGCTTTCTAACGAGCAAAGAAATTTCCAGAGCTCATCAGTGCCGTTCCCACTGAGAGCTTTATTAATCTTTAGTCTAATTCGACCAGTTTCTGTTCTTCTAGTCGATGTCTGGCACATGGCAACCCTTAAAGAATCAAACATGTGGTTTATTCTCTTGTTCTTTGCATATTAGATGCCTCAGAGTCTCCAGGAAGGTGGAGCAGGTCTGAGAACAACAGGCTTGTTGCTCCATCTGTGGAGAAGCTGGAGCTTAGATGTTCTTTGCTTTCTGTATTAGCCTCTAGGCTGCTGCACTGCATGGGGACGACTCAGCTGTGCTCATTAAGATTTTACCCAAATAAAATGTTTTAAAGCAAAAGTATGTTGAAAATCCAGCATGTTTTCCTGAAACGTTGTGTACTGTAGATGAAGCTGAAGACTGTAGCAGGCCAGGCGGATGATCAGCTTCATTTCTTTGAAAAGGAAAAATTCTTAAAGATTTCATTTGTACTTTCAACCGCCTCGTTGTCCTGTCTTTCTTTCCTCATTTGATTCGCTGCCTTCAACCCAAACCTGCTGTTAGAGCTGAGCGCCACTGGGAGGTTCTGAACATCAGTTCCTCTGGATGAACCCAGTCTGGTTCCTTTAATGTGAAGATGCTTTAGTTGATCAGAACCAGTTCGCTCCAGTACATGTCCTGATCCTGAGGTCCGTTCAGGTCCTGAGCTCCACCTGCCTGAAGGTCAAAGCTGCCTGGTCATCTCTGGGTCCTGCTGGTTCGCCTTCAGCTGGGATCAGGAATCAGTTGACAGAAGTTCCAGCAAAGACTAACTGGAACGAACCAAGAACATTTCCCCAGAAAATGTTTACCTCCTTTAAACGTTTGTGTGACTGGGAACTCCCATCAATGTATGATCATGGCTGCTGGAGCCACCAGTGCAGAGCTTGCAGAGAATCTAAGGCTCAGTGTGAGTGGCCATCTGCTGAGGCTGAATGGGGTTCAAAGAAACAAGCAGAGATGTAAAAAAATATATAACTTCCAGTCTGACTTACTGATTACTCCCAAAACAGTTAATACCTACAACTCTTTGATCATTTAACCCTTAATTTTCCCTGATCCAAATTTTAAAGCAAGAAAACCTCTTCTTTTTGTAACTTTGTATCGTCCACCAGGTCCTTACTCTGAATTTTTAGATGAGTTTTCAGAGTTCCTTTCTGATTTGGTATTAAATACTGACAGGGTCATCATAGTGGGAGATTTTAACATCCATGCTGACATTGAAGGCGATAGCTTAAGAGCAGCCTTTAATGCTATCTTAGACACTATTGGCTTTGTTCAAAATGTGAATAGTCCCACACATTCTCATCTTCATACTTTGGATCTTGTGCTGACATACAGCATAGAATGTGAAGAAATAACAGGATTTCCTCACAACCCTGTCTTGCAGAGTGCAAAAGCATAGCTTATTCCCCTTCACAGGTTGATGATGTTGTTGATGGGGTTGCTAGTTCTCTGCGTATTGCCTTAGACAACGCAGCTCCTTTGAAAATGAAAACCGTTAAAAATAGAAAGCTTGCTCCTTGGTTTAATGCAGAGCTGCGTACTTTGAAGCAAAATGCTAGGAAACTGGAGAGAAAATATCGCTCCACAGGCCTGCGGGAGTCCTTCCTAGTCTGGAAAAATGGTTTACTGCTGTATAAGAGGACCCTTTGTAAAGCAAGAGCAGCATACTTCTCCTCATTAATAGAGGAGAATAAGAATAATCCTAGATTTCTTTTTAATCCAGTTGCCAAACTCACCTAGAGCCATAGCTCTGTTGAACCGTCCATTCCACCTGCTCTTAGCAGCAATGATTTTATGGGATTCTTTATAAATAAGATTGATCTTATTAAAATAAGATCATAAAAATGCTCAGACCCCTCCTAGCTGGAAAGAAGCCATTATAACACTCATACCTAAAGAAGGGAAAGATCGGTTGGACTGTGGCTCATACAGACCAATTTCGATTCTAAACGTAGATTATCGCATTTACACCTCAATTATGTCTAAAAGAATGGAACAAATACTTCCTAAATTAATTCATAATGACCAAACAGGGTTTATTTATAGACGACAGACTCAAGACAACATAAGACGAACCTTACACATAATGAATTACATACAAACACAACAAAAAGAAGCAGTAATAATCAGTTTGGACGCAGAGAAGGCATTTGACTCGGTCAGTTGGCCTTATCTATTCCAAGTTTTGGAAAAATTCAAAATCGATAACCTAATAATCCAAAATATTAGAGCCCTATATGATAACCCTATTTCAAGAATTAAAATTAATGGCAACCTAACAAAAGCTTTAATTTTGGAAAGAGGAGTGAGACAGGGTTGCGCTTGGTCGCCTTTGTTGTTTGCTTTATACCTGGAACCATTAGCCCAATACATTAGACAATCAAAATCAATCAATGGTGTAGTCATCAAAAAAGTAGAACATAAAATAGCCTGCTATGCAGACGATGTTTTGTTGTATTTGTCCAACCCAGTAACTTCAATACCCAATGTGATGGCTTTCCTCCAAAAAATTAGTCCACTGTCCGGATACAAACTAAACATACAAAAAACTGAAATTCTCTCCTATTGGCAACCACCCCTAACTTTCAGAAAAACATATCCATTTAAATGGCAAACCACATCTCTTAAATACCTGGGGGTGGTGCTACATGGGGAGTTGTCTACAATCTTGGCAAAGAACTACACCCCTCTTTTTAACACCATTAAGAAAGATCTAGAAAAATGGAATCTTATCCCCCATTTAACTCTAAGCCAAAGGATCGAGACTATAAAGATGAACATCCTTCCCAGATTTCTTTACTTGTTCCAAACTCTTCCAATCTCCATTCCTAACAAACTATTTGAGGAATGGGACAAAACCATGACAAGATTTATATGGCAAGGTAAAAAAAACCCCGCATTCGACTCAAAACTCTCCAATTAACAAAAGGAAAGGGGGGCTCGGGCTTACCCTGTTTAAAAAATTACTTTATTTCAGCTCAAATCAGAACTTTGTTGTACTGGTGTGATCCCAAATATGATGCCCAGTGAAAAAACATTGAATGTAACGTATTACCAAATATCCCAATGCAAGCTTTATTAGCAGATGAAAAACGACTGGATCAAATCAAACAGGTGAAGAATCCCTGGGTAAATTCTGTTTTGAGCACCTGGAAGGATGTGCTTAAAACACACCAACTTAACAGACACATAAAAATTTTAAATTGGTTTGCTTACGATACAAACTTCATGCCTAATAACACAGATGCAAGAT